TGTGTAGGTGTGTGTCCATTTGTCTTTCCATCTATTTTACCTCTCTTTAATCTATCTATCTATCTATCTATCTATCTATCTATCCATCTGTCTATCTATCTATATAATATCTTTTACCATCTTCCAGGCGTCCTTGACATTCAACGGTGCTGCCGGCGCTCCCCTGGTCGGGATCTTCCTCCTTGGCGCCTGCTTCAGCCGCAGCAACTGGATTGTGAGTGGAAGACTTAGATATGAGATATCTACAGAGAGCAACACAGATTGTTTAGGAGGCGGGCTGTTTAGCAACCCCTAGGTCGTGAGTGGAAGATTTAGAGGGAACAAATCTGAGATTGTTTAGGAGGTGGGCTGAGTGAGTAGAAGAGTTAGAGGAAAAAGCAAAACTTGCTTTATTGAGGTTGTTTAAGAGGCATGAGGCTGCTTCAGTCGTAGTCACTGGATTATGAGTGGACGACTTTGAGAAAAAAAACAATCCCAAAAACTTGTTTTATTGAGTTGATGGGGGTTTTTTTGTTTGCTTGTTTGTTGTTTTTTAGGTTGGGTTGGGTTGGGGGGGGTTTTTTTTGGGGTTGTGTGTGGCTTTGATAAATTTTTTTTAGCTTGCGTTGTTTGTTCTTTTTTCTCTTATTTAATAATAATCGTTAGTGTTAGCCTATTCTATCGGGCCAAGACAAGTGTAGAGAGGAGCTAAGTGGGAAGACACTTTGATAGTTGTTGGGTTGGGGGGGGTTTTTTGGGGGGTTGTGTGTGGCTTTGATAGTTTCCCGTTAGTTTATGACATTCTTTTGTGTAATGTAATACTAATAATAATCGTCCGTCCACCGGTGTCTGAGGATGACCAATACATCTGCGGAAGAGAATATTTCTTAAGCAAAATAAAAGAAGTAAGAATCAAAGTGATGTGTAGCTTCCGCTATGGTCGATGAGACAAACAATAATTCTGCTAGAGAAGAGTTTGCATTATTTTGAGCTTTTTTTTAAATTAAAAAGCTACGTTTCCGATTGCAAATCTGTGTAGCTTGCTAGCTTCTTGCTTGGCTTCAGCACTTCTAATTCGTGATGCCTCGTGTGATTTGCTGTCCTTTGCGATCAGTGCGCTTCAACTTGGTCTGTAATATGATACAGTAGGTCTTTGAACAAAAATATGTTTTTCTTTGTATGTTTGCCACTCTAACCCGAATTTCCCCTCGGGCAACCACACTTCATAAAAATTTATAGAATTAATAAATCATATTATTAAGGTATATATTTAGACAATGAATTGACATTATAATTAAAATCAATGAAAATAATCAAATTAATAAATGTATTATTATTACAAACATTTCTTATACACGGAAATAGGTATATTATAATACATTTTAATTTACTTCAAAAAAGAATCTTGCAAGATGATTATGCTGTTGGGAACAAGCGAGTTACTTTAAGTAATATGAATGGGTTAATGTGCTATAAAGTCTTGTTTAATCAATAACAGATGGAGGGTAGGAGTGTTACTATTTCGACTTGTAGCTGGAGGAGGCGATAAAGAACACACGTATCAGTTGCACTGGCACTATGACTCACAAAGTTGTCTTGGTATTATGTTATTGTCGTCGTGTGAGACTGGGAAGAGGTCAAGAGTGTTTGCTGAATACTTGGACACTTAAACGTAAAGTCAAGGAGGACAAGCACGTAAACTCTCTCTCTCTCTCTCTCTCTCTCTCTCT